AAAGAGTACACATGTTTAGAAATACGCCTTTTGGTTGCCTCGTTAAAAACCTTGCAAGGAAAACCCAGTGGGACAAAACTTATAAGGAAAAAAGAGTACAACGCGTATTAACTCCCCTGATGAGAGCATTAATTTACATACTTGAACCTTCACATTCCAATCATGTGCATCATCTTCAAAAGATCGTTGGTAGAGATTTGATAAACAAATCAGCCATATTATCACTTGAATGAATATGTTGCACCTTGAAATCACCATTCTTGATAGAAATATAATGTCTTTATATAATGTCGTGGAATGACTTTCAATATCTCCATAGAGGTATTCTCGCTATCATATTATCATGCTTATAGTTATAGCAAGATACATATATGCACAAATTACACTTATCATATGATACATCAGGACCAAGAATCGTATATGCTTCAAGCGATTTAAATCCTTCAAGGATTGTCATATAAGTTAAATCATATAATAGACTTTAATTAGATGCATATCAAGTTTTCATGTCATGCTAGACAAATAAGATATTGAAAACTGATTGCATATACCATTGACTTTATACTTTCAAGTGTTTGAACTACATGTTCAAAAATACATGTCTTTCATATGAAACCAATTCTATTCGAAATTATTTCTCCAGACTTAAGATCCTCATATATATTTACGGTATCATAGATGTCGTCGACGAACATTTTATATCGGTTCCAACCTCCTTATTTTTCATAGAGACATAATATAGAGATCTCTTCATTTATTTCTGGTACCTAAACCTCTCTTGAGATTTTATGAAGTATTATGTCATGTGATCTTCTAGATCACTTGCCTCCTTTATTATGATCATTTGCTCATCTTCTTTATCAAGAAGTTTATTTGAAATCGGTCTGTCTATACGCTTTAAGCATACCATAGACTTTGTCCTTCTAGGACTTATTCTGATATGAGCATTTGCAGTGAGAATATAGTTACTTTCTTTGGGCCAGCAAATGCGTCTGGCATGCTTTGCAATATATTGCAAATGAATTATCCTTTTATGAACTTCAAATTCATATTATCTTATTCGAGGATCTAGATGTACAAATGATATATTCATTCCACATAACTTTTTCTCAACTGTTTATCATGTCTCCCCCTCATGTTAGAAAAACTAACTTGTTTCCTCAACTTTGAGAACCCATCTTTGTGCGTTATGGTGTTAATCAAAATATACACCGGACATCAATAATAATAAGATGGAATTATTTGGTTCCTGACCCTGAACCACTTGTGAAAGGAGAAAATAATATACTTTGGTATAACTTTGTTCTCATAAGCAATTGTTTAGCTATTAAGTGGAGGCACTCAATAAATCATTTTGCTAAACTAACTGTGATGTAAACCAACTTATCAAAATGAACTATCTTGAATAAAATATCTGGAAATTATGCTCTAAATTAAATTATTGAGCAAGTTACCTCGCAAACACCATGTTGTGGGTTAATAATAATCGCACATGTAACCATCTCATTGATGCATCTTATGTGGTATATATGGCAGGTGAATGGGCCCATATTCACCTTTGATATTTTCGGCATTCATGGGATTCAATCCCAATTTTAGTTGGTCTACTAATTAATGGGAACAAACAACATAAGAGAATTCGTAAAGAACTTTCTAGTTCTTTAATATTTACCCATGTGAATTCTCTTTTATTTTTGCACATCATACTTGAATTGACATGACTAAACCAATTATGCCAACTGAATAAATTATCAATATTGATAAAGTTCAGGTTTACACCATGACGTGTGCAATTATCAATAAACTCCAAGTTTATTATGATATGGATTTTTATATCAATAAACATCCACTTTATTGTGGTATTCTTTTATTTGTGTAGTACAAACTGGAGAATAAAACGGGTAACTTTTCACATACATATTACTCCGCTACAAGTTATAGTAATAGAAGATATTAAATCTTTCCTTTATTTATAGTCTCAATATAATCAACCGCTTTTGCAAATACTTTAGAAACTCAATTAAGTTTCTTTGAGACTTACTACAATACAATACCTTATTGATAATCAATTTTATTCATCCAAAAGAGTAATAATTGGCTCTTCCAGAGCTCTTAATTAATTTTGGTACCACCACATATGTCAATATCCATATGGTGAATATGTATTTTAAAGAGAAAGTTATACCATTATAGTCATGGTCAAAATTAAATGCAAGATATGTTTCTTGCATTAATGTTATTCTTTAATAATTACATTACCAAAATATTTTAGCGTGCAATAGGTATGTGACCAATGACCATTCATGCCATAATAATGATATTATTTTCTTATATCATCTCAAACCTCCTAGAGGTGAATGCGTGATATATTCACTACCACTAGCACGTTCATATTCTTCCAAGAATGAATATATATTCATAAATCAGATGTGTTGGCCCAAGTTCAGGTGAAGTTTTGAAGAATGACAAATGAACTCAGTCATGGACCAGGTCCATCATGTGAGGCACAGTATCTATCAACCTAGACATGTGAGATACACGTGAAGGAGATAAGTCTCAGTGATCAAGCAGCAATATCTCCTGAACTAATCGAAAAGGTTGCATATTGGATGAGGAGAGAAGGTCTTCTCATGGGAAGAGGACACAATCCGGATAAAGGATAGGGTTGGAGTTTGTATTGATCAAGGACTCAACTTCGATGGAAGATCAGCAATTGAGTCTCAATCAAACTCTGATTACTAACTCATTAAATAACAGCGATTGTTCTCTTTTACAGGCATTGCACAAACGCAGAAGTTAAACTAAATTGAGAGCAAAAGAGCGAGGCAATTTTGCAAGCAATTTATGTGAGATTCAAGTGTGCATTCCTGAAGCTACTTGGACAAGATAGAAGAACCAATTCCATTGTGTCTTTCTTTTATTCTAATTCAATTGTAGTAGGTGTTTTAAAGTTGTACCTTTCCAGCTTTCATAGAAGCAATTGTATTAGGTACTTTGAGTATTCAAGTTAGAGTTAACTTGAAGGTGTCGCAACAGTTGAGTCTGTGTGCCACACTGGGATTAGAGTTTAATCCTTAGGTTTACAAGAGTTTTTTAAATGCTGTTTTGGCTCAGTGATTTTAGTGGATGTTTGGAAAAATCCTACTGAGTAGTAGGTCGTAGTTTTTTCACCTTTTGAGCCAGGTGTTTTCCACGTAAAATTCTCTGTGTTCTTTATTTTATGTACTCTTAATTCCGCAAACAGTAGTAGTAAGTACACCTAGAAGAACCAGGTTTTTCTAGAGCGAAAATTGGGTACCACACAAATCACCCCCCTCTTGTGTGGTATTAACGTTTAGAACATCAAGATGTTTTCTCATTCACATCACGAATGGACCATAGTCATCTGTATGTGCTTTACAAAATCTTATGTCAAATCGATGACAAATATTACTTTCACAAAGTGAAGGATTATTTTGAGAATCCTTATTGTTCTCATTACCACAATGATGACGATTATAATTTCGTCTATTGCCACGTCCATATCTATTGATACATTCATATTAATAATTTTGTCTTCTTTTAGACTTATCACATACTGCTATCACATTCTCTTAAGGGAATGAGAATGGAGCAAATTCAATGGGACGGGTTTTCAATTCTTTGCCCACAATCATACATGAATTTGATCATGGCGAGGCATAGAAATTTTACAACTTCAGGTGGTTATAATTTCTTACAAACTCCATTAGAGTTATAATCAAAATTTATCATCTTTGCTTGTATTTAAAATCAAATTATATAATGTCAAGAATTTAAAAGAGAAAAATAAAGTAAAATACTTACCTTAAATCCAGAATTTAATCATGAAGGAAGTTGATGGAACAATTGACAATCGTTACGTTCAATCCCAACGAATAATAAAGAAATTCCCAACACTTGTATTAATATCGAAAATATACAAAGGAACCCTCACTTTGCTATGAACACAAGTCTTTCACAGCCCACTTTTGACAAAGAACACAAGTCGTTCTTGGCCAATACTAAGACCTGCCCAAGCCTAGCCTTAGTCCCCTTTGAAACACTTTGAAACCCTCACATTTCACTTTTGTTTTCCACTTATAATTTCACACGAAATTACCCACCGGTCGTCTTGCCACTGACACGAACCTGCTCCGCTCTGACTATTGCAAAGAAAGAGAGAGAATTCTTATTTCTTTTGGGATGAATTACAATGGAATAGAACCATCTATTTATAGGGAGAGGGTGACTTAGTCACCAAGTAATAAACCCTAGAGTCTCTCTAAATATAAACATTTACCATAAATAAAATTTTATTTATAACATATGATATATTTTTTGGCCTTTTTTTTGTGGCTAAAATCAAGTACGAGATTGTAGCTTGTTCTATTCTTTATTAGTTGTCACAAGGCTATTTTCCTTTTTCTCCTTGTGTGCAATTCTATGAGATGTCTAGTCATTCGAGTTTTTCCATTTTCAACTTCAATAATCTAGGTTGAATCCATTTTTTGATTTTCATATTCTTCTCCACTAGTTTGTAATAGCCAAAAAATACATCAAAAAGAATTGGAGAAGAAGAAGAACGTGGAATAGCCAAAGATTTTATTGATAATTGTAAAAATATCTTTTTGTTTTTATATTAATTTCAATAAGGTACCCATATGGTCATTAACTAAAAAATTTAATCCAACTAAATATGAACTTTTATTGGTCTTTGTACAAAACATCATCTACCTAATTCACCTTTATTATGTAAGGATTATCGTTTTTTGGCTAATTTATAAGCATGTGAAACTTCTAAATATGGTTAGCGTGAGGGTAGTAGTAAGTTCACTATCACAGAAGAGGGCTTCACATAATTAACTTTTTTTCCAATAAAAAACAAGAACGATAATCCTTACATAATAACCATGCACCAATCAGTAAATCTATTGTGCAAAAGTAAAAACGAAACAAGCAAAAGAGTAAATATGACGAACGACACACACATACATATATACTTAATCATCTTCTTTTTCAACCTTTACTTGAGGAGGATCTTTCGAATTGATCATAGAGGATGTGGTGTTCTTCACATAGACTCCAATACCATTAATGCCATCGCCATTTCTGCTGCCATAAAAACCATCAAATAAACTTCTTCCTATATAAATGTTGAACTCTTGGTCACCAGCTGAAGGGGTCCCAAATGGTCCATATGAATCCTTGTTGGTTCTAAATATTATAGATGTCAACATTTGGCACGGGCTAAGAGAACCACTTATCGAAGTAAAATATTCTGATGGATAATCAAAGATAACTGCTGAGTAGCTTTCAGAACTATAAACAACACCATGTCTGTTCGACTTAACTAAGTTACCATTCTCATAGTACATGAACTGAAGTGAAAGAATTGCGTTTTTGTTGTATGAAACAAGAACCCCAGCGACTTGGTCTCGTCCCTTTTCATCCCAAATGGTTCCACCATGTCCCCTCACTGGGCCAACTTTGATCATATCTATATTCTCTCTTCTTTCTGAATTAATTAATGGAGTAGTTGGAAGATCTAGTTATATATATATATATATAGAGAGAGGAGTTAATTTAAACTTCTAAGAAGTTATTGAGCCGGATACTACTAGGAGCCGTTACAGCTTCACACGTTGGTATTTGTTCTTTTAATCTCGAAATAGGAATCTGACTCTTAGTTTCTCTCTAATTTCAATTTCAATTCTATTTAGGTGGTCATTGAATTAGAGTCGTATTAATTAGCACTCGGAACCTTTTCATTGTCACGTTTTGGTACGTTTGTTCTTCTCTATGGAAACAAGAGTCTGGTCCTAATTACTTCCTCCGTTTACTTTTACTAGTCCACTATTGACTTTGCACATTTCTTAAAAAATAATAAATAAAATATACTCCCTTTGTTCCAATTTATGTGAACCTGTTTGATTGGGCACAAAGTTTAAGAAAAAAATGAAGATTTTTGGAATTTGTGGTCCTAAACAAGTTAAAATGGGATCCAGAGTATTTGTGTGGTTATAAAAGCTTCTCATTAAGGGTAGAATTGGAAGTTTAAGCTAAATTATTTCCAAATTTAGAAAGGGTTCATTCTTTTTGGAACGGACCAAAAAGGAAATAGATTCACATAAACTGGAACGGAGGGAGTATAATTTACCATAATACCTGTACACGGTGGAAACCGGGTTCGTCCATTGTTTGACCAATCGAGGCTGAAAGATGGCAGGACAAAGATCGAGCTTGGGTTATATCGAACCAAAGCGCAAAATTAGATCGTCGAGCTATAGACCCAGATACCGAGCAAGATCGAGGAAACTTACCGAGCAAAATAACGGAAAGCCGAAATATCCGTAATTGGTCGAGAATCACGACGGAAATCTCGGCACGTATCAAGAAGAGGCCGATTAATTAGCAAATCATGAGATTTTTTACCTTGCATAGAATTGTACCAAAAGTAGAACACATCCACTATATAAAGGGGGGTTCTCATAATTTGTAACATACATTGTAACACGCAAAAAAGAAGCAATATACTGATCATTTCTAGTTCTTATCATCTTGTTGTTCAGTTCTAATACTAGTTGAAACATTTCTTGGCTCGAGGGTGATCAAACTCGAAGGCTAAGGCTGTTCAATTTTGTTGTTTGCATTTATCTCATTATGTTAATTTCAATATTAATCTACTTGGCCTTTGCATGGGAACATGAGTTAACTGAGAATCCTCTCATCTGTCGCATTTATTCCTCTTTGACTGGATTAACAGTATTTAGAGTATAGAGCATGCCACCCAAACAACACATACCAAATATATTTATTAATTATTACTGCATCTAGTAATAAATATACCCTCTTCGCCTTCTGTAAAAGTTAAAGTACATTAAAAAATAAGAAGAGGGAAATTAATACAGGCAAATTAACCTCTCTATAACAGTCTCGTTTTTTCTGAATATTTTTTAATATTATACCAAAGTGCAATTATAGAGAACATATATTATAACATAACATAAAAATTGATTCTGGAAAAGCGTGATTTATATAGTGAAGTGTTATTATATAAGAATGTTGTTATAGAGAGCTTTTACTGTATTTTCAAAATCACAACGTTGTACTGACTTTATAAAAGGGGAGATTAAAGCGAGAGATGACTCTTTGCATCTAATTTCAACTAAAGAAAAAAAACAAGTAATAATATTGTGTACTGCATATAGCACTTTCTCATAAATCATAATTTCAAGGAGGGGCATGGCCCGGCTCTTTGACAGTTTGTTGGTAATCACCATCGTACTATATTATAAGCATGAAGATCAAAAGTTGAATGTAAAAGATCAAGATAACCTTATACTATTATTAGACTTTTATGCCCTTAAAAGTTATTTTAATAATATCTTCAATATTAATAACAAAAGTTAGTTTTGTAACATTAACTTTGACTTGTAGATTATCAAAGAATTTAGTGAGGTCCATGTATTCAAATTCTTCACTTTACAAAGTTGAGCTTTTTAATTTCAGTGTATAATAATTTTTTTGAGCTAACATTTACGGTTCTTAAAAAATCAAATAACTTTTTTGAGCTAACATTTTATCTTCTCCTTTTATTTTTCTTAGCATAAATAGTTAGATACACGCAATCTTTTTCTTATAAATACAATCATGATTCAAAGCGTTTTACCATCCATGTACAAGACGATATAATTTTTTACTAATTATACAGGATAGACGCGCAACGCGCGTGCCCAAGGACTAGTGCTTTTATAAGTGTGAACCTATTGAAGTTTTAAATAATTAATTATTAATAATTTTATAAATTAAACGAACTCTCTTACCGAATATGCTATTTTTTTTTCGTTGGGGGTAGGGGGTGGGGGTTGGACCTTCGGTTCTATCTGTAACAAAAGAGTGGCTCCACCACTAGTGTGATGACCCAAAAGGTCATCTTCTATTTTAGAATTCAATTTCATGTTTCGAGGCCTTGGAAACCTCATTTTATCTCTTCTTGATTTGCGTGCGCAGTCCGGGCGTGTATCCAAAAAGCACTTATGTGAAAAATTTAAGAAAAGATGATTTTTAGCTTAAAAAGATGATTTTTGTTGACTTCGGTCAATGTTTTGGGTAAACAGACCCGGATCTGTGTCCCAAAGGTCCCGGAGGGTCCGTAGTAAAATATGGGACCTGGACGTATGCCCGGAATCGAATTTCGAGGTACCTAGACCGAGAAATGAATTCTTGAAGAAAATTGATAAGACTATAAATGTGATAATTTAAAAGATTTGATCTTTTTGGTATCGGGCCCGTATTTTGATTTCGGAGCCCGGTACAGGTCCGTTATGATGTTTAAACCTTATCTGTGAAATTTGGTGAAAAACGGAAGTGATATGACGTGATTCAGACCTTTAGTTGAGAAAATAGAAAGTTTGAAACTATCTTGAAAATTTCATGTGTTTTGGTGTTGAATTCATAGTTCCAGGTGTTATTTTGGCGATTTGATCGCATGAGCAAGTTCGTATGATATTTTAAGACTTGTGTGCATGTTTGGTTTTGAGCCCTGAGGGTTCGGTGAGTTTTGGATAGACTACAGAGTGATTTGGACTTAAGGAATTTTGCTGGTGTACTTCAGGTCTGCAGACTTCGCAAATGCGAAGTCTGGCTCGCAAATGCGAGCACTGCATTTGCAAAGATATTTCGCATTTGCGATCAGAAGGCTGGGAAGGGGACCTTCGCATTTGCGAAGCTCAGTGTCGTATTTGCGATGAGAACATGCCGCATTTGCGAACACTTGTTCGCATTTGCGATGCTAGCAGGCCAGGCCAATCTTCGCATTTGCGAAGTAAAGTTCGCATTTGCAAGTTCGCATTTGCCAACCTGTGATTGCAAATGCGATACCTGCAACTGTTCAAAACGATTTTTGGACGGGCTTTTTTATTCATTCTCCCATTTTTCAAAACCTAAACTTCAAGAGGCGATTTTCCTAGGGCAAGTTCTTTCCCAAATCATAGGTAAATGATTCTTAACTTATTTCTTTTAAACTATTTCATCTTTTTATAAGATATCATCCTAGAATCTAGGGTTTTTCATGGTGTAATTGGGTGTTTTTGGGTAGAACTTAGGAATTTCGAAATTTGGGGATTTGAACCTCAATTTGAGGTCGGATTCCAAACCCAATTGTATATCCGGGCTCGGGGGTGAATGGATAATCGGGTTTTAGTCGGAATTTCAAGTTTTGACCAAGCAGGACCGGGGTCGATTTTTGACTTTTTGGGGAAAATGTTGGGGAATCTATATTTATGCATTGGAATTGGTTTCTTTAGCGCTAATTGATGTTATTAAGTTAATTATGGTTAGATACGAGTGGATTGGAGGTGGAATTGAAAGGTAAAGCGGTCTTTGAGCTTTGAAATACCCGTTGGCTTGAGGTAAGTCTTTGGTCTAACCTTGACTCGAGGGATTAGGGATCCCCGACTTGCTTGCTATGTGAAATACCATGTGTGTGGCGTATAGATGTGTTGACGAGCACCTATGCATCGCCAAATTTCCTGTTTAGCCTGTTCCTTTGCCCGTTTCGTAATATATATTGCTTTCCTGTCTTAATTGCTACTTGCTTATTGATGCATCCATGTCTAAATGTTTCTTATTAAATGTTGTTTCTCTATTGACATTATTAATTGTTCCGTAGTTTCATTATATCACACTGTTGGTTTACGTTGGTTTATTGGTGCTTCATTACACTTTGATTGGTCTCGCTGTGTAGTATTAACTGATGAAGTTTCATAATTGTAGTGATTTTTCGTTGTTTTGGTTTGAGGTATAAGTGTTGTGGAGGATTTTAGTTAACTTGTGAAATACTTATTTTAATTTTTTGATTGGTACTGATGTGGTGGGATCGGGTTGCACGCCGCAACATGAGGAATAAGGGTGAGATGTGATTGTCTGGTGGGATCGGGTTGGACGCCGCAATAAGAAGTAATAAGGGTGGACAGGTGGGATCGGGTTGCACGCCGCAACGGGAGGAATAAGGGTGATATATTGAGGAGTAATAAGGATGGACTGGTGGGATCGGTTTGCACGCCGCAACAAGGAGTAATAAGGGTGAATGTTCATTTTGTTATTGATTATATGGTGGAATCGGGTTGTGCGCCGCATCAATTGTTACTTATGTATTCTTCTTCTGCTGAGATTCATTATTGTGTGTGTTGAAACTCTCTTAAGGATTGGTTATAGCTGAGTATTTGTAGAACGACTGGGTTTCGTATTTATTTAATGCAAGTTACTGTTATATTTCATTTTGTATTTCTTTCCGTCTTAGTATAAACTGTTGCAGGATATATATTGTTATGCCCCGTCGTAGCCTCGTCACTACTTCGTCGAGGTTAGACTCGGCACTTACCAGTACATGGGGTCGGTTGTATTGATACTGCACTCTGCACTTTCTGTGCAGATTTTGGAGTCGGTAGTGGCTGATCGAGAGGTTGGTTGCTGATACTGCGTTCAGGAGACCCAA